TTACTTAGACAAAAAAAGAAAGGCAGATCTCTTTAAAAAGTTTCGTCAACATTTTACTTTGCATTTCAAAGCTCCTTTTTGAGAAATACTTACCAGCTCATAGCTGATCTGTGGGAAACTATAAAGTAATACAAGCCTTGCTTAGAATACTCTCAGGCAATTAGTAGAAACACCATAAAAATGTGTGATCAGGGTATCCAGACCAAGCATTTTTTGAGGACTCACTCAAGTATAGATTTTCGCCCATTTTTAACAAAAGATATTTCTTGAGACACTAGTTTTTCAAAACACCCCTCAAAAAAGGAAATACCTAGTTAAGCAATTTGGAATTCTTTGCATACTGTGCCTTCCTATTTGAAATTCACAAATCTATATTAAAGCTCCAAACAAGTATTACAGTGAAGGACACTATTTACATGTTTAACCCAGAGTATTCTAGGTGTTGTTATTGACTATAAGACCCAAGCAATTCTCCTCTTCTGCCCACTTTCTCCTTATTAAATATCATTAATTTGTAATTCCATGGGATACTCATTGCTTGAGGCCTCACGGCCTGGGAGCCGCTATACCATAGCCTTGATACTGTGTCTGCCTCAAGGCCAGAGTCGAGTCCAAGAAGCAGGTGTTTAGGAAAAGGGTACAAACCCGGAAAATCCGTGAGGGTTGTTCAAAGCAGAATTACAAGCTTGCTTGATATTTCGTAGCACACAATGAGCTTGCTGATTGTTTACTGTTTTCAGTAACTTTAGAAATGCGGTGAAATGGATGAGCTACAAGTGTGACTTGCTAACTGAACAATGACTGCTTTTCTAGCTGCACAATCTTTAAAGGAAATTTCAACAGTTTAAAGGTGAAATATGTCTTTGTTTCAGAAACACCTAGAAAATAGGAAGAAACTGATAGACTGTATGTTTTCAAATAATCAAAGTATTCACAGAATATGAAAAATTTCACAAATGTAGGCAGGACATGAGTTAAGCTATTCAGGTGGACCAAACTTTGTCCTGAAGCCTCCGCATGTTACTCAACTGGCATCAGGAAGGTCTTCCATGTTAAAAGAAATAAACTTTGGTGACTATAGCCTAACAATGCAATGTTTTCAATACCACTGAACTGTACACTTAAAAAGGGTTAAGTTGGTAAATTTTATGTTGTGTTTTGCCACAATTTAAAAAAGTAATCTAATGTTGCTTTCAGACAACATTAAAATAGCAACATATTTTTTATTGCTTGAGAGAATTACTTGCCTTGTTATAAAACCAAATTCTTCAAAATGTCTAAATACTCCCCCCTTTCACTGGGAAACGCTTATCTTGACTAACAGAGAAAGCAGCAGTGGTTACTGAAAAGAATAAAAGAAATATTTTCTTTTTTCCTCTACTTCCACTACCCAAATCTCCATGCTATTAGAGCTACAATAACAGATTTGAAAGTGGACTTCCCTTTCACATTGCAAAAAATAATATAGTTTTCTATAAATGTAAAATGGTGTTTCATGAGTTTTTAAAAAAATATTTCATTTCCTGTAGTGGCATTAAGAGTAAAACCTGGTGTATGGATTTTTTAAGGTTAGGTAAAATACATTTGTTTTATCAAAGTGTGTATTAATATAGGAGAATTAACAAATTTGTGAGAAATAGACTTAGGAAAGGATTAATGAACTATAAAAGGATTGATGAACTATAAAACTCACTGCAAAGCTAAGAATGTTTTAAAAACATTGTTCTCCTTGGCTAATATCATATACTAGATTGTAAGTTTCTGTGGGCAGGGAACACATCCATCTTGCTGACCACTATTTTTTTCATGCCCCTAATTGTACCTAGTGTTGTAGACAATAAATACTTCTGAGTGAATTAGTAAATTCAGGAGAGAGCTAAAATACAGAAAACTGCTTCTTAAGTAATGGTTAAAATGTGACACTAACGAAGGCCATTTTTCAATTAATAAATGATTTGAAATATTACCAATGGACCATTTATACATCTCATCAGTCACAGGCTCCATTATCCATCAAATGCATGTTAAACACTCGCTACCAAATTTATCCAAACCTTACATATGGAATTTTATTCACAAACCAATGCTCTACATTTCAAGAGACCAATATTGTCAACACTTAAGCGCTTCATATCCAATTCTTCACATGAATCTTTTGGTCTGATGGACTATTGTTGAACTTCTCTCATTAAGTCTGAATAATAAAATTGTATTTGATAGATATTCTTGTATTTTTTAAGTGGAGGCATTATTATAAAATTTTCTATGTAGCTTTAAGATATCCAGTGGAAGAATATTAAAAAAGTATTAATATTAGTCATTTGAATGAATATTCTTCAGAATTTGAGCTATTTGCACGTAAACATTAAAATGAGGAATGATTAAATGGTGTTTCATGTAATCCTGACAAAAGATTTAGAGATGAAAACGTATGTCAGTATTTGGAAGAATATATAAAAAAGAGAAGTGTACTACTTTTAAATATATCTCCTAGACTTTAATTGTTGGTTTTTGTGTTTTTTTGATTTAGAAAAGCTAAAATATAAGCAGAAAAAGTAGAACATAGTTTCCACATGATTAGCAAAGAGTCCAAACTTTGGAATCACTTTGAAATCTATTTTAAAAGCTCAGCTACTTTGATTTTTTTTGTTGTTGTTATAGAACCATGAAAAGTTATTTCAACTGAATTGCGTACATAACTCCTAGAGTGTAGACAGTTGCTATTATTTGTTCACTTCATCAAAATGCTTTTTTAAATTCTTGCTACATCTGTATTACCAGGTCCTGGAGAAGCCAAGGTGAAGGAGGCCCAGGAGAAGCCAAACCCTCTTTGCTGTTTCTAACAAAGGAAATGCCATTCTTGCCACTAACTCTTGGAATGATTTCCAAGTTCTCTAAAAATAATTTAACCTGTGTCAAATAGCTGTCTCATCTGGAAAACTCAATAAATGAATGTAGAAGTTAGAAAGAGTAGGGGGAAAGTTAGGTGTCAAATTGAAATGGTATATCCCAGGCATTTTAGACTGAAACTCCAAATTAGCCAGTTCAATTCCATCCATCTGCTCACTTTTCTTTAAACTTGAGCTATATTATTGCAGAAAAGCACAGTAATCCCCACTCTGATCTTGTATTTCAAATAAAAGAGACTGAAACATCACAGCGTAGGCACCTTTGTAAAGGGGTATTATGGGTAGATGAATTTCTGTTCGGGTCAGCATTTCTACATTCAAAGGGCAGCTTATATAGGGAGGAAAAGTAGAAGGAGTTATATAAAGTATTTCTACCCAATGACAATCATTCTAATTTGTCATTGGACTTTAGTTTAAAGAGAATATGCCTATTAAATCATGCTTCACTTTAAACAGTAATTGAATTTTTAAAAATTTTGTACAAATTATATCTTGGTAGCCAAATTACATTTCACTGTACCTGAATAGCTGTTGACATGCAGAAAGCTCAGGTAAATCCTTGTAGAAGTAAAAAAGTATGCTATATTTCTTTGTTCAGAAATGTGAGTCATTATAAGATACTGAAAAAAATTAACAAAGAAATATGGGTCATTGTATGCTATTTTCTTAATTTAAAGCATTTTAACATGCCAGTTATTAAAAGTGAATTTTTAAATTCCGTTATATGACTTTGCAAGGAAATTCTATTTTATAATTTTCCATCTGTTAAATTATTTCAGATTAACATTTATTATATGCTGGTCCATGAATGAAATGCCATTGCCTACAATGATTTTTAGACATCTGCTAGTGTCCTCAAAGAGAAGAACTGAAATATTTTTAGAAGGGATGACTTACCACATGACTATTAACTTTTGCAGGGTCCCACTTAAGATTTTTTTAAGGTGACTAAAAGAAAAATGGAAACCTCCTGGGCTTTAAATATTTTTCTATTTTCTTTTTGATATGAAAAATAAACCTATAAAAATTTTGTAAAAAAAAAAAAAGGTGAGAGGGTGCTGCAGTAACTTGCATTAATTCCTGTTGGCTGGTATAACAATGAAAGCAAAAGTCAGTTTGTCTAATCCGTCAGGCGTTAGTGCAAATACAGGTGCACGCTATGACTCTGCTTTCCCACTCTCATAATTTGCTTTTAGAGCTTGAGGTGGAAAAGAGGATGAGAGGAGATAATATATGGGCCATCTGCCATTTGCCAAGAACTGTGCTTAACATTTTACATATGGCTTCTCACTTATAAAGAGTTAAGCAATACACAAGAAAAAAAAATTCAACCTAAATAAATCTCTTACTTTTCTTTTTCCTGCCAAATTCTTGTCTGTCTTAATAGGTGACACCGTCTCTAATAAAGAGAAACCTGATTACTTATTTTTTTCCTATTTGCAGTCACTGTGTGTGTGTGTGTGTGTGTGTGTGTGTGTGTTTTAGTCTTGAAATGGAGTCCAGTGGTGGATGGCAGCCCAGAAAAGAATGCTGCTTTTATATATCCTATTCTCTTTGCAGGTCAGCTGAGGATAGTTGAGAGAAGCTTGAAAAATAAAAGGTAAAGAAGATGAGCAAATACTCAGAATAAAGCATAGCTCTCAGTCAATCAGATACAAATAGTTAAAGTGAATTTAAATATAAACAGAAAATTTTAATTCCAAATACTGTAGATGGAGGGTAAAAAAGGATAAATTGATTGCAGCTCTTTAAAGACCAAAGCAAATTTATAAGTAATCTCTTAGAGAGCTAGCTAATCAATTCCTTTATATTACTTAATAATGTTATATTTGACATGGCGGCCTATTGTAGTCATGCTGTATCTCTGTTAAATGTGCTGAGATATAGGAAGATAAATGTTAAGTAGAGATCAGAACTATACTGAATGGATAACACCAAGTATTTTTCATAAACCTTCCATCAATTCTATCTTAAATAAGTTTTTTTTAATTCTTAGTTTTTATTGAAGTGTAGTCAGTTTACAATGTTAGTTTCAGGCACACAGCAAAGTGATTCAGTTATACATATATATATATTATTCAGTTTCTTGTTATGAGCTGTAATGGAAAAGAATCTGAAAAACAATCTTCAGTTTTGCTTTGAAAGTTACACTAGACATTATGCATAAGTCAAATATCTAGTCAGATAATTTCAGTATTCTCTATTTTTATCCCCCAAAGGATGGATAACATGAGTAACAACATTTCCAATCAAGAAAATTATTCTTCTTTCATGTGAATTAACCTGTCATATGAAATGTTAAATACTGATCAACTAGTTGAGAGCAAAAACACGATGATATTTATTGCTGTATCTTTCTGGGGCTTATCAAAGGACTCATGCTTACAAATGGCTATAGAACTGACCCAAAGGATGAGCCATGTGAGTCAAGACTACAATGTGGATTAAAAACCTGATTCCAGTCAGGCCCTACTCTACGGGGAATCTGTGTCCCCCAGAGCAGGCTAAGCACTTGTCTTGATCACTTCTACTCACTTTTCCTTCCTGTCCACTGACCAGTGAAGGGGAGAACACACTAAACACTTTGATGATTCATTGTAAGTGTGGACGTCATGCTTTCACCCTGATCTTTATGCGGCTAATGTCTTAATGGTCTCCCACACCAAAAGCCGTGTTTGAAATACAATACCTTAACAATCTGAAGCTGACTGAGCTGTGAAGCAGGATACTGAGAATAAATAGATGAAATTCTAGACATTTCTAAAGAGGATCCAGCTACTTAATGGCCACTGAGGTCTTCAGTGAATAGGTGTGAATATTTCAGTGTAGTCCAACCTGAACTGAAAAGCAGTTCTTACTTCCAAATTTAAATACCGCCTGTGCATATAAAAAAGGAGTTTCATTTATTAGTCCAAAATGTTACTACAATTGGGATCTTGAAAAAACATTCTCTTTTTCTCGGGCATGTTCTTCAGCAAAAGGAAGTTGGGAAGGGTAGGCTAGAGAATGGAACGTATGCTTGGAGGCCATAAAGTTGAGACGTCCTGTTTTTCACCTCACAACAGGCGAGGTTGGGCCGAAGATGGTTGAGTAAGTACATTTCTCTGCCAAAGTTAAGATGATGAACCGTGGGTGAACCTCAGCAACATTCTATTCATCCACTGAAAAGCTGTTAGTATTTGGTTATTGAGGGTTGTCCAAACCATCCTCTGCACAGGTTGGTCCCACTCTCCTCGCAGGGCAAGTGCAGATCTCGCTGAGGGGGTTACAGCCAGCTATGTGGACACACTGGCACTTCAAAGAGCAGTTAGGGCCATCCTGGCCTGACCTGCATTCTGTGAGGTGAAAAATCAAAATAAAACCAATTGAAATATGCTTTTCTATCACACAGTCTTTTTACTACTATTTCTTGGAATTCAGTAAGATAATGATAGGCTTGTAAAGAATTCTGGTTAACCATGTCATATCTTTTCCCCATGCAAGAATGTTATATAAGAAAAGTAAGGACTTTAATGGAAAACAGGAGGAGGCTGGGGAGTGTCAAGGAAGTTAGTGACAAAGTTCAAAAAAGAAAACAGGACAGCAACTTATAGTTTTCCAGTGTCTTCTCAGAATTAGATTATTCAATAGAGCTGATAGCAGTCCATCGTGAGGGACATGGGGAAAATGGATTAGGTGTCTTAAGGCCAGGAAAAGGCGATACTCACCCAGAGTACACAATTATAGGAAATTTGTCCTTAGGTTAAAAACACAATTATTTGTGCTTATGTTATTGAAAATGATGTGACTTTAAATTCAACTCTTTCATCTCTTAAACTGCGTCAGAAGGACCATGGAGCCCCTGTGAAATCCTGCTGTGTGTACTAAAGGGAGGTAACTGTCTTTAAGTTGAATTGCATTGTGGTTGCAGTCAGGAGAGAAATGAAGAACGGGGATCAGAAAGTGTCAGCTTTATCAAAATAGCAGAACGTGGACTGAAAGGGGCCCCCCAGACATCACATCCCAGCCTGTGTCTCTGGTCTCAGTCTGATATCCAGCAGAGAATTAGCAGAGAATTAACAGGTTCTGTTTCTGAAGTATTGTGAGGTCGGGAAGAAAGCCAAGCCCAACCCATGGAAACAGAAAATGGTTTCATATTTCCCAGGCAGTCAGGCAAGACTGGGAAATAACTCAATTTACCGACGTTTAAGGACCAGAGAAACTTAACTTTGCAAGAACAACAGTCACCTAGCTCTATACCATTTTTCAAAATGGGCTCCTAATACATTATCTTAATTGGTTCTAATGAATTCCTGTGAGGTAGGAGAGGCAGTGAGGTAAGCTCTCATTCTAGAAAGAGATAGCTAAGGTTTGATGTGTCTTAAGGGACCTTCTCAAATCCCTGATAAATGACAGAGCTGGATTTCTAAATTCTCACCTAGTGCTCAGTCCTCATTCTGCCCCACTATCTGGAAAGACCAAAGATGTCAAGCATATGCAGAAGAAAGCCCAGATCAGAAAGTGGAAACTGGAAAGTGAAAACTTCAGAGATACCAATACAAGTATAAAGATACAGGTGGTAGAGCAAAGTCCGAATCTGTGAGCAAAAGTTTGCTAAGCATTTCTTTACTGCCTCAAAATTCTCTTTGCTAGGTTAGAGATCCACCCTAAATATTCCATGAGCAGTTGGATATTTATTTGATTTTATTTTTCTTTCTTGGATAAGGAAGGTAGGATAGGGTGTGGACTAGCTCTCATTTTAATTAACTTGTTAGATTTTAAATACGAGATCAAGGGAAGCATAACAATTTTGCGATTTATTCTTTTTACATAGATGCAATGTGAGCAAACAGTAATTTAATCCCTTCTAAATCAAGGAACATCAGGTAGGTAAAAGACACTGTGAAGGTGATGCAAATACTGCTCTGAAATGACTCTGTTCTTTAAACCATCAAACTTTATGGGGAAAAAAAAAGCCTGTGTCATTTCAAATTTAACCTAACACACCTCCCTCTGCCCAGTGTGTGGGATGATTACTTAGTTTGGTGGTGAGACCTAGTTTTCTTGCTTGAAACAGTTATGAGTCAGGATCTCTCCTGAGGAGTTCAGAATCTGATTTTAATTTTTAAAAATACCACATTTTCGTGTTAATAACGATGTGTATTTAAGACATCTGTTTGAATGTCTGCAAATGTTAATTTACCAAGGGGGTGGGGAAGTAATCCAATAAAAAGCTGCTACATTCTTTCATGAATTAATATTATAGCTGTTTAATAGGGTCTTTACCAGAGTTCAAATTAAAATGAGGGCTTTTATCTTTATAGTGCCTGCATAGACACAGCTGTTCACAGTTAACATCACAGATGAACTGGGCCTAATTGAAGATAAAAATGCAAATAAAAGATCCTGCAGCACGTCTGTGTAGCCGTGGGTACCCCAAAGAGCTCACAACAAGAGAGGCCTTGAGGTGCCCACTGAGAATGGATACGTTAATACATAGGATCCACGATCATGTGACAATTTACTTGTGGATGAAGAAGACGGTGTGATAGGAAATTTAGTCCACAGACATTCCATCGAGTGAGGCTTTCATTTCCAACCTGTCCATAAGCTCTTCAGGTTTACTGCTTCGTTTTAAGCCTCTGCTAAATGCTGTCCAATAGAACTTTCTGCAATGACGAAAATCTTCCCCCTTGACCTATTCAATACTGTAGCCACTGGCCATGTGTGGCCACTGAGCACTTGAAATGTCACGTGTGACTAAGGAAAGGAATTCGAAATGGACCTACATTTAAATTAAACAGCACCCGTGGTTAACGGACAATGCCGGCAGACAACCAAAAGGGATTCCTAATCCTTTCTCTCCCTTGAGAGGCAGTAGAGTGGGGTTGTTTAAAGTCTAGCTCTGGATCCAGACTGCTTGTTTCAGATCCCCAATCTCCCACTTAACTAGCTGCGTAATCTTGAGCAAGTTACTTAACCTGTTTTGAGGCTTCAGCTCCCAGCTTCCTCATCTATAAAATGGGAATGGTGATAACAGTAAAGGTGCTATACTATAGTATAAATGAAAATGCCTGCCATGTAACATGCATTCAATAAACATGAGTGGTTTTCTCTAAGATTTAATGAAGCCACACATGCTATAAGCACTCTGCCTTTAGTGAGCACTTCACTGGTGCCATGTGTCATGTGGCTTCATCAAGATGTCATGTGGATGTTTATTCTGACAGATTTAGTTTATTTGACAAAGTTCAGGTATTCTGTCTATCGTGACTCTATGAAGAATGCTGAGTAGGGAAGCAAGAATCACCTCCACAAAAATTTGCTGAAGGCTATCATGTGCTAGACTTTATTCTAAGCATTTTTGATAAAAGACAGACTCAAGCAGCTTGCAGTGCAGTGAGACACAAGGATTAGAGAATTAAATGAAGAGTCTTTGCAGAAAAGAAATGTCGGTATCTATAAGCTCCTGAGTTGGAAGATCCTAAAGTATTCAGACTTAATATCGAAAACCCCTTGGGCTTATTCTGTACATGTACACAAAAAGGGAAGACGTAGGGATAGGGAGGGATACAAGACTCTAACGAGCCACTGGAGGCTCCTTATTCTGGACCACATACAGATACTTACATCACACAAACGGTATGGTCTACCAATAGCATCACCCTAGATACGAAACCAGACTACTTTGGATCTCATCTTGGCTCTGCCACATTCTTCCTCTCTGTGCCTCAGCCCCTTTATCTGTCAAACAGGAATAGGAACAGCAAGACCCCCACAGGGCTGTGCTAAGGATGAAATGAACACAAGTGAAGTGTTTGGGGTGATGCCTGGCATTCAAAGAAAGCAGCCATCATTGCTCTTTCTCAGAAGCAAGGTGGGGTGTGGGAGACGGTGCTGCACAAACAGCCCTCTCCTGTAGCCTGGACGGTTACCACGACTTTCTCAGCATTATTGAAATCCCAGGTTGCGTAATCATAGATTTGTACTGGAAATGATCTTAGAAATACATAGCCTCAACCCTTCTTTTTGGCGGACGAGAAAAGTAAATTTTGAGGTTAAAATCTCTATTTCGGTCATATCTGTGGCAGGGTCAGTCCTTCAGGGCTATTTCGAATTTAATATAAAACCTTTTCACCTAGTAAGCATTCATTAAGTTTAAGAGCAAGGGATAAGTCAACGATTCATTCAGTCTACTTTCTCCTTTTTTTTAAAAGCTTTTGCTTGAAGAATTTGAACTTTACATTTGAGGGTATTCCTCCTGTGAGTGGAAAGAAAAAGTATGAATTTCAATTCCCAAAGAATAGTTGAGAACTGGATTCTTAAGAGCACCACCTGGACTGAACCTTAATTGCCTTCATTCTAGTTATTTCTCCGAATCGCAGTTTTCAACTGCATCATTTTGGGGTCTGTCTTCTGCCAGCTGTGGTGCTGGTTTGTGGTGCCAACAATGTAGCAACTACCTACCCTGATTAATCAGACTAAGGCAAGGGGACCAGCAGTGGCAGGGCGATGTTCATCGAGCAACATTTTCAGTATGGAAATGTCTGTATATCTCCAAATAATCCATGAGTCAGAGGGACATCCCGAGGTGCTTTGGTTCATACCAAC